ATTCCTTTCACGTTACTTAATGATTGATTATCAGTGGATGATAAGCCTAAAATATCTTGGCAGCTGTTTTTGACATTATGTCAACGTATAAGCGAAAGCAGTTTGTGTCTAAAATGCCCTTCACACTAGGAAAACTTCACGCGCACAAAAACGGGGTCTTTACCGCACATTCTTGCCAAATACATTGCGAATAAAGTGTTTTACTCCAAGTGAAAGAGCAGAAGAACCTCCTAAAAGGTACATCTAGCACTTTCTTTCTGCAGGACATTGTCACCAAACCAACCGACTCGTTTTAGTTACTTTCAAACTGTTCAAGCGAATGATTATCCATAAACAGTTTATAATCTCTTGGCCTTAATTACAAGGATGAGTTTTCGTCTACCCTCACACAACCATCTAAGCGAATATTACAGTGTTTTTTGACTTCCCTTGAAATTTCTAAGTTCCCAAGAATGTAGCATTTTTTGTCAAAATTTCATTGAAATAGGGTAAATATTTTATTCTCATTTTTATGTGTATTTTCTACTGTGATTATAATTACTGGACTATAAACATACATAATGTGAAGTGACAGGAAGCTCAATTCTATGATGTCACGAGTATATGTAATTCAGTGAGATTATTTTAAATTCTGGATAACAAAAAGTCGTGATGGCGATAAACCTCTTTTCGCGAATCTTCGTAAATTATCCAATATCTTTGTTCGATAAAAACAAAGAAAACAATTTTATACCCTAAAATAACTTTCAGGTCTCTTTGTGGCACCTCACAAGAATAAAGGAGTCCTAATTACTTTTCCTTTGTTTAAAGTTGGAACGTTTTATAAATATCACTGTTGATAACCACATAATCCTCGCATACCCGAAAAAAGAAATTAGAAAATACATATCGACAAGTGAAATTGAAGAACTTGAAGTTGGAAGTAGCCAAAAAAATGTTTTTCATGCGGAAAGCCATCAGGGTTAATTTGATAAAACAAAGTAAACGAAAAAACAAAAGATAATATTTCACCGTACAGCCAGGCCAGGTGCTTTTACTGTCAGCTGATGCCACCCAGGATTGAAAAGAATGATTTTTTATAAGCCCCTTATTTGCAATTTTGAAACTTTTGAGGCAGGAAAATATCATGTACTCGTATGCAAATCTTTTAAGGCTGCTAAAGCAGGTACTTATGAAAACATGGGGGGTGGGGGCGGGGAGGTGGTAGTGCGTATAGAGGGTCTACAATAAATACTCATTATGAACACCAATTTCCACTGAAAGCTTTGATACATCAGGTAGTGGGCTCGGACTGCAGGTCCTACTTTTTGACATTTCACATACATGAAAACATACATCTAAATTTTCCTAGATATAGATACTCAATATTGACTTTCTTTTTTTATTGTCTTTTCAACATATCTAGCCACAATTTTACATAAATCAATTCCTTACTCTCTGTGTTAAGACCTCAACTTTTCAGCCACGATTATCCCATTTTGAAACTTTATGGTCATGAAAAATCTATCCAAATTAGGTCCAGAAGTTTCCATCTAGGAAAGCCTGTAATACTATCGTTGCAGGACCCGCAAAAAAGGCTTATTTGGGTTACAGTGTAAAAGAGTAAGTTACTTTCTCAATCAGTGCTCGGATTTCTGTGTCAAAATTTCCAGGATCGACACTTAAATATTGCAGTGTGATGACGACATTTTGTATCATTCAAGTATTCTTTCTCTTATATAATTTGCTGAAAATTACACATGACCACCGTCAATATCACAGATTTCTCTGAAGTCGCAAAGGTTTTTTAAATGCATCTACACATCTCCTACGATAAGGCAACTATCCTATTGCTGCCGTTCTCTATTTATTCCGAGCAAACGTTTATGTATTTTAATTAATAACTTATGGTCCTTTCCGTTTTCAGATACCTGGACCGCTTAGCAGATTCCCTTCAGCAAAAACTTATAGTCTTAGAAAAATGAGTATCGTCCATTGAAGTGATACCTGATAAACGACAGGCGACCACCATAGAATAGAGAGACTTGGAACCTAAACTTGAAATTATCATAACTAAAACAAAAGAACTTCAAGAACAGGTAAGACAGCAAAGTTATTACTTTCAGTAGAATCTGTTGTTTTGTCGGCGGGTAGGGGAAGCACGAATTTTGTTATCAATTTGGAAATAAAAAGCCGTATACGTGTTGAATTTCAAAAATTTGACGTTTCAAGCCCTCTTGCCCATAACTACAAGGATGAGGTTTCGTATAACCTTACTCAACCATCTCAGCGAATATTAGTGTTTTTTTACTTCTTCTGAAATTGCTTGACTCTCAAGAATGTAACTTTTTAATTACGGACCTACAAAAGACTTTGCCAAAATTTTTTTGAAATAAGGTAAATATTTTATTCTCATTTTTATGTGTATTTTTCGACTGTGATTATTACCACTAGACTATGAACATACATAATCTGAAGTGACAGGAAGCTTAATTCTATGATGTCACGAGTATATGTAATTGATATTATTTTAAATTCTGGATAACAGAAAGTTGTGATGGTGATAAACGTTTCTTCCATTAAAGGACCCGCAAAAAGGCTCCTTTAGGAGCCAAAAATATCAATCAAGGGCGGATCTAGGGATTGGTCGGTGGGTCCCAACAACTCTCTTCTCTCACCATCGGACCTGTGGCATGGTGGAATTTTTTTTTTTTTTTGCTACTTGTCTGACCCCTAAATTCTTGCAACTACAAGATTGCATTTGACCTGGTTATACCAATCAATATGAAATATCTAATATTTACTTGTCTTGATATGATTGTCAGTTTATTTGGGCTACAACGTGAAAGAGTTAGTTGCTTTCTGAATCAGTGTTCGGAATTCCGTGTCAAAATTTCCAGGATCCATACCTAAATATTGCAATGTTAAAATTTCAAGGATTCACAGTTAGATAATACAATGTGATGACGACATTTGGTAACATTCAAGTATTCTTGCTCTTATATAATTTGCTGAAAATAACACATGACCACTGTCAATATCACGGATTTTTCTGAGTCGTAAAGTCGTAAAGAGCAAACGTTTGTGTACTTTAATTAATAACTTATGGTCCTTTCTGTGTCGGCGGGCAGGGGAAGCACGAAGTTTGTTATCAATTTGGAAATAAAAAGCCGTACACGTGTTGAGTTTCGACAATTTGAGGTTTCAAGCAGTAGCCTGAATCGTCTGCCGGTGCAAAGGACTAAAGGCTAGCGTGCAAATGGTTAACCCTTCGAAAGTCATGATTTGTTACTTAATTATTTGTTGTTTGAATCCTCGGCCTTGAACACTAAAATAATTTGCTGGACAACGGCCATCATGAGCTACCTATGACACATAACGCCTTGGGAAAGTAAAAGGCCAGGTCTTATTTCAGATGACTGGAGTTAAAAGCCTTTAGTAAAGATGCGCGTCTCGAGTATAGCCATGTTCCACAAGTTTGCGTGAAGGTCCTGCGTTTCACCTGTTCTGAGATAGGTCTGACGTCTGCCTCACTCTGAAAGAGGAATGGAAGTGAAGGAAACAGAAGTCCTGGCGATATACCAACCCCTACCCGTGACAGTCTATTCTGTCGCCAATTGTCGACCCCATTTGAGTCACTTTTGGTAATACGGTAAAAAATGCTCCACCCCCACCCCCAGGTTTATAGTTTAAGCGTCAAACTTGTGGCAGCGTTATCTAAAGCAAGTAACAGAACATTTGACAAACATAGCAGGACCAACATTGAAATCGCCCCTCCCCCCCTCCCTTACCCTCTCGCTAGCTTTTTTGCCCACTTGAATATTACTAATTGGCTGAGTTATAGTCGCCCAGTCTCCTAGGTCCAGAGAATGGCTGCGAAGGAGACTGAAAGTAACTCATCTTCTCGCTAGTTGTTGTGACCTTTTGAAGATAGCCAATTTCAAAGGAATTTCGCTGGGACACTACAGAAGTCTCAATACTATAATCAGAGTTCTGACAAAACAACAACAAAACAACTATAAATACCGAGAAAAATCAGTTTATTGACTAAAATCAACTATGGTTATCAAAATTTACCATAGTGACTTAAATTAAGGTTATGAGCAAACACTATTCTATCAACACTAAAAACTGAGAGATCATCTTTCTAACATGAAAATTTTCAAAACATTTAATTTCTAGTCGTTTTCAAGCACAAACGTCTTTTCTCAATATGCTAATTATAGCATTCTCCTCCACTTCAGTGAAAGAGCACAAGTGCCTTTTGAAAACTATACTGGATGTTGACATGAAAATAACAATCTAGCAACTAAGTAAACTTGGTATATATAACTGCTCTTCTACCCTGCATTATGGAAAAGGAAACAGATCTGGAATTATTCATCCTGACCACTTAAACGATGACTGAGTCTCGTTTTACAACGCCGCAAACTCAAACTCGGTTAACATCTGTTAGTAACATATGTTAATATCTGTAAAATATGTCCTTTGTTACCCTCTCCCCCCCCTTTATACTTCAGGGAACACAACACTGATCATGGTCACATCTACAAGTCAGTATCAACCCTGTGCCGGTTTTCCATTTTGCAGGAAACCGTTAGAGGTGAAGGAGAACGTTTTCCACTTGATTGGAAATCGTAACACTAAATTTAACATTTAACATGGGGATTCTGGTGATAGTAACCAAGGACGCCATACATAACACAAACCGAACCCTTATTTTTTAGGATAATTTACAACCAGCGTCAATGGCAGAGGAAATTCAGTCGGCCCAAAGGGCGGAAAAGCCAATAATGGGCCTAACTGGTCGTATAAAAATTGAAAATTGAGTTTAGTTTTGTGCTGATCAAAGGAAAAAAGTGATTTCATATTAAACTTTCACAGTCAATTGAAAATTACTTTTAGATATATGTAACACCGTATTTCCTCGAGGAACCACCCACACCCTAATAAGCCCCCTCCCTCAATAGGCACCACCCCCATAATATCAAACAAGCGTCCCCCTCCTTTTTTCTCGCTTTTTCAAAAAGTTTGGATACGAGGAAAACCTATATTTTTTATTTCCACTTTATATATAACTTTATGAGCTTCAGCTAGAATAGTTTCTTAGTAAGCGCCCCCCCCTTCCCCCTTTAAGCTTAAATTTTGAATAAGAGCCCGGGTGCTTATTCGAGGAAATAGGATGATTGAAATGCACAAGAATATTAAAAACTGACCGACAACTTTTTTTGTGCACGTTAACAACAGCTGCTATGTGCTCTTCATCGGAGAAATGTAATGTTTACCCAACCATGACCAGCGCTATTATAGCAACATTCATTTTGTTGATTTGTTCCATTGTTAAAAGATCCTCCCCCTCCCCCACAGGAAATATCATCATTAGCCCCGCCACTTCCCCCAGTGTAACCACCACCACCGCCCGGTCCCTTGTTGAGTTTATGTAAACCACCGCCACCTCCGAACCCACTAACCAACCCTCCACCCTTTCCCCCCTGAAGATATCCTGAACCTCCTTTTCCCCCTCCTCCACCAGAGCTCGTTGCATTATGTCCATTACTATGGAAGCCGCCACCACCGCCACCTAAAGTACAATCAAAAAGTGATCAGTGATTCTCTTACAAATAGCACCCGCAAATTTAATTTCTTGCGATCAAACGGCGATCCGCAGTGTTCCGAAATGTACTTTAGTTCTTGATATTTGGAATTTAATAAATGGAGATTCTTAGTAATAAAAAAGCTTATGAGGACAAGTCAGCGTAAAAATGCTGCAACTAACTCTTTATTTAATGCCTCTGTTTAATCCAGATCCGCAACTGACGAATGAGAAACCTTGTTAAGTTTTTCGATGTCATCTCCTGCGGTATATTCGCGGATCGATGTCGATAATTATATAAATATGCAGGAAATTTGAAAAGAAAAGAGCAAAATTTAACAGAATCTTAAGTCTTGTAGGAGGCACTTCCAAAGGAATCATCAAAGAAAATCTTAATTAATAACTAAAATTAACATTGAGAATTTTGATAATTACGGTTTTTATACATCCTTCAAATCAGGGACTAACTCTATCATTAAGTTAGAGATAGTGAAGCATGGCAGTAGAATGCAACGAATTTCTCAATATTTATAAAAAGCAAATTCTCCACCAACCAGAATTCACACCATTAGTAAGTCCTCCTTGTCCTTCTATTCCACCTGACCCCAGTGGCGTGTTGTTCCCTGCATTTGCAGTGGTGTCTTGGGAAGCATCACATCCCGGATGTTGTTCTGACATATTTTTGATTCCCCCTCCACCTCCAGCTATGATTAAAGGCGTGTTTGTTCGTCTCACAACAAATGTACCTCCACCACCTCCAGCAGTTTTTGAGTAGCGCCTTCCTTTTTTCCCTTCTTGACCAACAAGTATATGAATGATCTCATCTTTGGTCAAAATAAAGTTTCCAATCATTCGTGCCCCTCTTCCACCGTTCTTGATGATACTGTCCTCACCGTACCCCCCTGAGGCTCCTATTGCTTCTATTCTGTATTCGCCAGTGTGTGGCACAGTCCATTGTTGAATACCGCTGGACAATGTAACTTGCCCGTCGTGATCCTGACCTGCGTAGCGACTTCCAATTTGGACTGGACCCGTATTTCCACTCATACTAAGAGTTGTAAACACTGCTGTAAATCCTGTATAATAATCGCAAAATGAAAGGGAAAGTTATCGTACTGCTAAGAAATTAATTGTCAAATTACTTTGGGTATTGCCAATGTTGCACACTACCGCTTACAAAAAAGTATTCCTGTAAATTCGGCAGATATGGTTATCTTCATGACGGTATCTTCGTACTGGCTCTGGTTATGATCATAGAATCTACTTTCACCCGCAAATATGCTGTCACTCTTGCTGGTAACTCCTCGGAAACTGGTAAATTCACCAAGCTGCATAGCTTTCAACGCCGCAAAATGCAAATTCGTTCACATCTTTAAGAAGGACATCGCTCGAGTGTGTACCTTACGCTTAAGACCTAAGCATCACTGATCCCCGTGACCTCCAATGGGCAGAGCATACAGGAGAAATAACCTCAAAGGCCAACAAAACCTTTCATGAATCAGGCGAGTTTTCCGCGGTGTCAATGACGTTTAGATAAGGAAGCTGCTGTGCTGTCCTGTGGTCAGACCCAAACTTAAATAATACTCCTGCCTATGGTCTCTTTATTATACAGTCATACATGGAGTATTAATTGAGAAAATCCAAAGGTCTCTGACTAAGTTTATTCTTAATTACCCACTGAATAATGTCTCTTATGCTGATGGGCTCGTACTGCTGGGCCTGCTGCCGGTAGAATACTGTACAGAAATTAGGGACATTACACTCTAGTACAAGTTTAAGTCTGGTGCTATGTCCACCAGAAAAATATGGAGAGATAAGATAGAATGATATGTTACAAACAGTTACCTGTGCATTTGGTTCCATTTCCACGAAATCCGTCTTTACACTTGCAGTTGTACGATCCCCGGGTATTGTTACACTCAGCATTCACATCACAGTTGTGTGTTCCGTCAGCACATTCGTCCAAGTCTTGAGAATTAAAAAAGAAGCATCTTTTATACGGAACCTGTTTCATGTTTTTATCTCGTGTTTTGTGGTGTTGTTGTTTCTCGTTTGTTTGCTTTAATTGATTTTTGAGATCTTACAGTCAACTATTTTATTTTTGTTGTATCGTTACCATGTTCCCACCAATACCGTAACTCCATATTCCGCATATAAACAGACACAACCCACAATTCCCCCATTTGCTCTGACGAAGGACTAACGCTCGAAACTTCAGATTTTAAACTCGCAACAGTGGCCTATTTTACGTTATCAACTCACTTGATGATACCAAATTACCTTTGCAGTTAGTTCCATTTCCACGAAATCCATCTTTACACTTGCAGTTGTACGATCCCAGGGTATTGTTACACTCAGCATTCACATCACAGTTGTGTGTTCCGTCAGCACATTCGTCCAAGTCTAGAGAATTAAAAAGAAGCATCTTTTATACGGAACCTGTTTTTATGTTTTTATCTTGTGTTTTGTTGTGTTATTGTATTCTCGTTTGTTTACTTTAGTAGATTTTTGGGATGTTATAGTCAGTTATTTTATTCTTGTTTTCTCGTTATCATGTTCCCGTCAATAGCATAACTCCATATTCCGCATATAAACAGACACACAACCCACAATTCCTCCATTTCCTCTGATGAAGGACTAACGCTCGAAACATTAGATTTTAAACTCGTAACAATGGCCTATTTTACGCTATCAACTCACTTGATGATAACAAATTACCTTTGCAGTTAGTTCCATTTCCACACACATTGTGTGTATTTGACGTGCTCTGGCCGCAAGTGTTTTCGCCTCCATGCTAACGTTCCCCGTTGTCAGATAAGAAATGGCCACACGTTTATTTTACTGACTAGCAAAAAATTTAGAGGATTCCTTACCTCTATCACAATCATGGCCTTCAAATCCAGATCCAAGAGCACACAAACACTGATAATCTCTGTGTGTAAAGCCAGCTTGGCATGTTGCATTATTTCTGCAAGGATTACTGACACAAGCATTCTTAAGAAGAAATAGAATATGACCATTTAAATTTTTGTGCTTGTCTTCTGCTCGTGCATTCATGTTTGCGAGTGCGGAATGTTATGCAGGTTTGTGAAATCTACGCTTCTTCCATCATGTCCATGTATTCCACGCAAGCTTCTCTGTTATTTACACAAATGTTTGCGTTGAGCACATTCGTTCCCGTTCCAAGTGTGACACTGTTCAGAGCGAGAGCAAAATCTGTGTGTATCTTATAAATGTATAAAAAACGGCTCCAGAATGGAAGCGGAAATTCTTAAATAAAAAAAATACGCTTCTCTTAATTCGTTATTTCAAAAGTTTAAAAGTTCAATTGTCGTAACCTATATTCTGGTGGGTGAAAGGAGAATTTAGAGGAGTGGCAGAGGTTGAGGGATGCTTAGTCTTTTAAAAAAGCCTCAACTAGTATAAAGTCCCATACTCTTGGCTGAAAAACGTTAATCTCACCTCAGCTCCGCGGTAAGTGTAACTTTCGTTTTTTACCAGGTCTTCATCGTGTTCAATGGTCGCGTTATTCAGATCACACTCGTGTGTTCCAGATGCCTGTTTTATTTTATGGAAGTTATAGCTGACACAGTAAGGTTCCAGATAGCATTGTAACCTGCAGAGATCCTCGTTGAATACTTCAATAGTTCGAACCGTGTGATTCTCCAACCTGTGGCCAGGTTTAGGAAAACTGGTAAACTTCAAATTGCGGAAGTTGCCTGGTGAACAATTATATTAAGAAAGTTACTATTTGGCATTGAGCACCTCTACTGAGACTGGAATTGTAGAGCAGTGTTACTGCTGAGTTATTGCTTTAGTGTAACACCAGGAGAGTGATTCCTATGGTTGTGATCGACTATCGTGATCGATCGGTTGTTCCCGAAATCCATAAACAACTTTGTTAAAATATAGAGTAAGTCGTGTTTATCACGTAATAATAATAATGGTCCTCTCGTTTGGGCATGTTTGGTTCTTTAAAAAAAGGTTATTATCGGAACGTGTCGTGGAGTTTTTTGTTTGGTCAATTCATGAGAAGCGTTTTTTATTATGTCGCGTGACTTCAGCTTTCGATCAATATGCGTATTATGAAAAGCGCGAGGAAACAAAATTAGTCGCTTGCGGATAAATCACGAGCTTCTCAACTCTATGAACTCCATGGTACGTCAAGCAATTTTGACAAACTCTTTTTAAACTATCTACGTCCTGGCTTTCTACTGCCAAAGATGTAACGAAAGTTTTCTATGCATACTGTGCATGAACGAGCACTAGAAGGTTAAACGCTGAAATTTACCCTCGAGCATGCACACCTTAAGGGGATAATTGAGTATGGCAGGAGGAAAAAAATCCTAAAATGTCAACTATCGTCTTTGTTAAACAAATATTTTATTTGAACCACCTGATTTTGCCTCAAGCTTAGTTAGAACTTCCTTTCTGGGGTGGATCATTAATAACTTATGCCATAGTCCTACCAACTCGCTGGAATTCACAAATTCAGTCCTCGATTTTTTTTTTTTTAAATATGGACCAAACCTTAGATCAACTTTGGAGCTGATTGTGCAAAAAAGTCAGGTTTTTCCACAGATAATATGTTAAGTGCTAAGTTTGAAGCACTGCTCTAACGATATGTTTTGTTGCTCGCTGTGACGAATTAAAGGTTTCTTTACCAAGAATAAAAAAGCTTTACTCCTGTATAAAGTTTTTGGTTAGTCTTTTGTTTTTAGATACTCCAATAAGCGCCCCTCCTTTTTGAATTTAGATGAAATAATTCATTACATTTGATATTAGTAGGAGAAGCTTGTGAGATTATTGCAAGGTTTAGCCGTTATCAACAAAAAAAATTCAAAAAACGTAACTTATCGCCTTGGTAAACATTGAAGTATACTCAAACCATAGCAAAGACATAACTGTGGGAAAATCTTACCTTGTCCTTCCAGTATTAGGGAGGCCAAAACAATGACAACGAAGTAGTAGAGTACAGAGAGCATGTTCTCAGAAAACACCAGTTATACTTCTAGAGAACAGCCACAGTGAGTTTTTCAAACATGAGGAAAACATCACGCAAAATATGACAGGTCAAGTTTGATCTCTGTTTAAATACTCCACTCCTTTATTATTTATGAGGTTCTCGGTTGTTTTCGTTCATGAATTGGTTATTTAGGGATTTAGTCGGTTGATGAAACTCGTAATAATGCACGTGTTTTTTTTTTAATGCAAAACATTTATTAGGAAATTGGACCTTTGCCAATCTACGAAGCGAATAATTAGCCATATCGATCTTTGAGGAAGAGTTTTTTTCAACATTATCACCCGCAACCATCTCAGCCAATATTACAATGTGCTTCCGCTTATATCAGCTTGTGAGATTATTGCAAGGTTTAGCCGTTATCAACAAAAAAAATTCAAAAACGTAACTTATCGCCTTGGTAAACATTGAAGTATACTCAAACCATAGCAAAGACATAACTGTGGGAAAATCTTACCTTGTCCTTCCGGTATTAGGGAGGCCAAAACAATGACAACGAAGTAGTAGAGTACAGAGAGCATGTTCTCAGAAAACACCAGTTATACTTCTAGAGAACAGCCACAGTGAGTTTTTCAAACATGAGGAAAACATCACGCAAAATATGACAGGTCAAGTTTGATCTCTGTTTAAATACTCCACTCCTTTATTATTTATGAGGTTCTCGGTTGTTTTCGTTCATGAATTGGTTATTTAGGGATTTAGTCGGTTGATGAAACTCGTAATAATGCACGTGTTTTTTTTTAAATGCAAAACATTTATTAGGAAATTGGACCTTTGCCAATCTACGAAGCGAATAATTAGCCATATCGATCTTTGAGGAAGAGTTTTTTTCAACATTATCACCCGCAACCATCTCAGCCAATATTACAATGTGCTTCCGCTTATATCAAGTTCTGGAAGAAAAGAGTCACTTCTAATGAATGATTGACATTTTGTGAAAAATGTACGTCAATTATTTTAAGATCTTCTGCCTGCTCCGTCCAATTAGAAATTGTATTGGAAATCCTTGAACCATAAACTGTACGAGTGAAAGAAATCGGGTGAGTGTCTGAGAATCAATCGAGGGCTTTAAAACATTAGAACAATTGATCAATGACTCTAACCACACTACACTGAGTTCGAAGAGCGCTCGCTTAAAACTGGTGCTCAGGCTATTTTTCCTTGTCGTTATCCGTCATTTTTTATGCGGATTACCGCTGTACTTTCTGTCCCAGATGCCCGTGCAATGTGCGATGTGCTTCATGCAAAAAAAAAATTGTTAAGTGCGAAAATTAAGTCGGTCCGAAGAGCAGAATTAAGAGATACTGGGTCTAACTGATCGTATGAAAATTCAAAATCTGCACTTAGTTTTACTCTGATCAGCGGAAACAAAAAAGTGATTACACGATAAACCCTCATAGTCAATTGAAAACCATTTTTTAATATGTAAGACTGGAGATACACAAGCTCTATATAAAATATTTATCAATACTTATTCCTTTCATGTTTTTAATGATTGATTATCAGTAAATGATAAGCCTAAAATATCTTAGCAGCTGTTTTTAACATTATGTCAACGTATAGGCGAAAGTAGTTTGTATCTAAAATGCCCCTCACACTAGGAAAACTTTACGCTCACAAAAACGGGGTCTTTACCGCACAGCTTTCAAAGTTCCATTGCACCAAAACAGGAAAACACATGGGCGCATTAAGAGAGACACCGAGGGAGCTGGGGTTCTGCTCACCAGGCTCCCCTAGGTTCCATTTTACGTTCCATTTTAGGATCCATTTCCATAAAAACCGTCTTTTCAAGTGCAGTTGTGAGGCTAAACCCAAAATTTTGACCAAACGATGGGGGGATTCAGACCTAGTACGAGGAGGCCAGCGAATGGCTTCCAAACAAACTTCAACTATTTGAAGTTGGGTCCCCATTACATGTTTAACTCCGCAAGGACCTAAGGCATCTAGCACTTTCTTTCTGCAGGACATTGTCACCAAACCAACCGACTCGTTTTAGTTGTTTTCAAACCGTTCAAGCGAATGATTATCCATGAACAGTTTATAATCTCTTGGCCTTAATTACAAGGATGAGTTTTCTTCTACCCTCACACAACCATCTAAGCGAATATTACAGTGTTTCTTGACTTCCCTTGAAATTGCTAAGCTCCCAAGAATGCAGCTTTTTAAATTAGGGACCTGCAAAAGACTTTGTCAAAATTTCATTGAAATAAGGTAAATATTTTATCCTCATTTTTATGTGTATTTTTTAATGTGATTATAATCACTGGATTACTATGGAAGTGACAGGAAGCTCAATTCTATGATGTTACGAGTATATGAAATTGAGATTATTTTAAATTCTGGATAACAGAAAGTTGTGATGGTGATAAATTTCTTTTCGCGAATGTTCGCGAATTATCCAATATCTCAGTATGTTTGATAAGAAAAAAACATAATTTTATACACTAAGATTATTTTTCAGGTCTCTTTGTGGCACCTCACAAGAATAAAGGAGTCCTAATTACTTTTCCTTTGTTTAAAGTTGGAACGTTTTGTAAATATCACCGTTGTGAACCACAAAATCCTCACACAAAAAAAAAGAAATTAGAAAGTATGTATCGACAAGTTAAATTAAAAAATTTGAAGATGGAAGTACCAAAAAGAAATGTTTTTACGTGGAAAGCCATTATGGTTAATTTGTTAAAACAAAGTAAATGAAAAACAAAAGATAGTCTTTCACCGTACAGCCAGGTCAGATGCTTTTGTTGAAGTCCTAAATGTAATAACTGTCCTAAATGTAATAACATTTGGTCCTAAGTGTAATAAAGTCCTAAATGTAATAACGTTTGGTCCTAAATGTAATAAGCCTCCAATGCAATCGTTTAACTGCGCTAGCGCACTGTTGTTATAGCAGACATCCACATTGAGATGTTAAAGTGACAGCTGTTGCACCAAAGAATCCTCTGACCAATCCTCATGGCATATTGCGGGCTCGCTGATGTTAATCAGCATCTTTTTATATGCTAAAGACGTAGGTTGAGAAGCATTGTCTACAAAACCTTATACTGATGTGCTTTTGGCATCAAATTGACAGACGCAAAAACAATGAGAACGCTGACCAAGAGCTCTCTTTATATCATTGGCTCAAACTCTCAAGCGAAACAGATTTTGACGATAACTTGTGTGATCAGTGCTGAAGTTAACACCTTATGAACCGCGTTACAAGAAAAAGGTAGTCCACTGACCTATACGTCTGACAAATTCCGGGCTCGGAAGTGCATTTTTTGTACTGTCTTCCCTTGCAAGATTTGTATGAGTCTGCATGAAATATATTCCTATGCGTTATTGACCAAGCGTGAGGTCAAATGGCTGGATATTGGCCGAGTTTTTTATTTGTTTTTGCGTTTTTAGGGACTGAGACGAAGTCTTGGTCCAAAAAAAAGGAGAAAAAGAACGAGGCTAATATCCATTCATCTTGACTGAACAAGCTTGGTCAATGCAAGAGAGTTTATATTCTCTTGGCTTAAACGTTAAGGGATTCATTGTATAGCAAAAGATTTCGCTTTGATAAGAATCAAGAATGACTTGTTTATTTCGAGAGCCGAGAGTGAAAGCCAACTGTTTTTGTAGTACAATAAACCCAAGAGGGTCGTTTAACTTTTTCTAAGTATATGTCGACATTGTCCAAAATTTACGAACTTTGTGAGTTTTCTTGCGCGGTATCAATTCGGGGAATCTCGAACGGGCGAGGTAATCATCTTGCCCGCTCAGGTATCCAATCAGAACACAGGATTCACTTCATCTTGCCCGCGGGCGCTGCTAGCTATATGATAAAGTGACTTACAGAGCTAGATATCTACTGACCAATCATATCTTATCCCATTTCACGATCACAGGTCTCGACATGTGGCTTTTTTTCCACGCGAGCGTCAAATTGAACTCTTGAGCTACAGCATTCAACACATGATGGTCAGTTGATGGTCTAATGAACCATTCTTTTTTTTTCCTTTAGCCCCTTAAGACAGGTTCATCAGTTCCCGAACCGAAATATCGGGAAAAAATATATACCGCAGTCAATCTCAAGTTTTTATTTCATTTTTTTGTCTTCATCTCTTCTCCCCGTCGTGAGGGGAGAAAATGAATAGATAAATAAATAAATGAAAAAAGATAGCTCAACAGTTTCCACTTATAGTCATATGGTACATGAACTGTTACCGAGGCGGAGTGAAGCCATAGAGGGCTAGAAATGCAACATCCTAGGTTCAAAATTGAATAAATCAAGATAGTCATTCTTATAAATGAACTCAAATGCTTCATTAAATCATTTGACACTGAATAACATTGATGTTCAAAATTTCAGTAACACTACTGATAATAATACTTTTGGATTAACATGTGATACAGCGAAATCATTCAAACTGCTCTAAAATGGTGCATCACTACTAACGACTTTAACACGAACGATAACATCAACAATAGCATGCTAGTTTATCATCAATTGCCGTCAATTTCTCTTCCAAAAAATTCCAATGATTACGTACCAATCGAGTTCATCCACTTGAACTTCCAGCCAAGCATTAGCCCACTTTGGACTAGAAATGATTTTCTTCAGCTCGATCAATAGACCGCTTAAAGGACCATACTTTTTTAGAAGGCTTCGAACGCTGATTAAACAAGACTTCAATCCACCAGAAACATGAAGCCTTGGTAGAAATCGTTTCAGACGTTGCACCGACGCCCTGAATCGTGTATTAACTTTACGTAATGTTTGGTATGTGTGGCATGCATTACCAGCAAACAGGATGGCCGATGACGCTAACACTATTTCTAAGATTTTTTCTAAAACTTCATTGGGAAGTTTTCCAATGTGACATTCGTCATCTCCTCTCGCCGCAAATAAGTCGATGTCTACATCTGAAACAAACTGAACCTCCATCAGCTTATCACCATCATTCGCTATACCATTGTCGACTTCATTTTGCAATTCATACTCTGTCTCGTTTGTTCGGCTTCCATGAGTAAGTCCCTTAGCTGTATCTGTAGCAATGTCCGTGTCGTAACCAATGCCGACGATACTGTCAAGTCCAGTTTTTGCGTCAGAGTCACCCATTTCAAAATCAACGACGTCCTGCTCTATATGCATTTCATTAGCATAATCCTCGGGAATTTCTCCTTCTCCTGGGTCATTTTCATCGTATTCTTTTTCACTAGCGTCGTTGTGATCCGCAACTTGTTCCAAGCTCACATAGTGTTCGCCTTGGTTCTCAGCAAGATGTCCAAGGTACACGGTAGCTGCTGAAACACTTGCTGACGGACTGAACACATGCTGCCCACCAACTCCTAGAGAGGAAACTATTTGGATATCGATATTATACAAGTTTGCTGCTGCATAAAGCGTAATCTGATCCCCATAGGTCCCATCTCGCGCCATATGAGTTATATAATCGTCCCAGCAAGCGAACTCATCATCTGCCAAATGCTCCAAAAGTGGGGAGCCATCGCTATCGTACGGATTACTTTTTAAGTACTCTACTATTTCTTTCCTCATGGTTTCAGGAGATCTCAAAATGCCTAGTCTCTTTGCCTGAT